ATGCAGGGTTTTTCTTATAGGTGTGACTATTGAGAAATAAAGTTTATTAAAGGGACTTAACGGACTTTTGAATTTTTATGCGCGCGACTGCCCCCTCAGGCCAAAAGCGTAACGGCAGCTTCAATAGTGGGCTCGTGCACGAGGCGCGCATGCTGTACGTGCACACTCCTTAACGAAAATAACTTTAGGTTACTATCGTAACCCCGGTTCTCTGAGTAACATGAGTGAGATGTCTCACTATGGGATACGCCCCTCCGCGGATTCCTCAGAAGCACTCATCTCAATACGCCAATCCTGATTGGCCAGTGACCGTGACGTACGCGTCCCCCTGCTACTATAAGTAGCAAGCGTCCCCACGCACGCACCATTCAAGATAAACACCTCTTCTCGCTTCGCCCAGCAAGAAGGGTTGTCTGGTGAGACATCTCACTCATGTTACTCAGAGAACCGGGGTTACGACAGTAACCTAAAGTTCTCTTTCTCAACATTCGTTTCGATGTCTCACTATGGGATATGGAGACTCCCGTATTGCCAGACAGCTTATCCAGCGATCACCAACCTACAGGGATACGTCCTGGCCCGCCAAAGACCCCACACTCAGAATCGTGTGAGTCATTGCAGGGACCGAAACATCAAGCTTATAGAAGCGTGCAAATGCAAGTGGAGAAGCCCAACTTGCTGCAGCACAAATCTCCTGGATTGACAGTATTTTTAAACACATGTTAGTTATCTGAAAGGATAACCAAAGTAACTTTTTGACCTTAGATCAGGGTTTCTCAACCCTGGTCCTCAGCGCCCCCCTGTCCTACATGTTTTCCATGTTGCCCTTTCAAACACTAGTGTTTCTCTGCTGCCACACACCTGACTTAAATTAAAGACTGATTAACAGGCTTCTGCAGCACTTGATGTCCTCCTGATGAGGATATTCAAATATGTAAATCAGGCGTGCTTGAAGCAGACATTGAAAACATACAGACAGGGGGGCACTGAGGACTAGGGTTGAGAAACCCTGCCTTAGATGATGTTTTTCTACAATTTTACGGAACATTAAAGATGCTCTTTAAGGTGACGTCATAAAATAGGTTGAACTCACATAGGCGTAGGCAGGATTTTTGGGTTGAAATAGTGTCTTAAGAAAACATCATTCAAAACGAATGACGTTTACTCAGTGCCATGAGCAACATCTCATCATTTATGGGCCCATCATTATTCAAAAAGCATGACATAAAAAACCACAAAGTGGCAGCCCCTCCGTCTCCTGGGTGGACTGACTCTCTCTATTTGCAGTCACTGACCTGCAGTCTGCTAGCCCCTACAACTCCTCTAATTAAGAGTTCATAGGAGCAGCTGAGCCAGGGTGTGCTCCCACTTGTCAAATCAACACTGCTCCATTCGCAAATATTTCAAAAGGTCACCAAAGTAACTCAAGACAATACGTGCAGTGGGAAAAGCTCGTAGACACTAGCTACCATTATCTCTTTGTGACCTCAGGTTACATCTTAAATTGGAACAAGTTGCTTTCCAAAAGTTATGGATATAAATGAAACCTGCTGCATGTCAGTGCACTTCTTCTTGAGTCTTTGACTGCTCAGTGTTACAGGCTCTCTGCATGCTTCCCTTCCACTGACATATTCAGGACTAACATCCCAACACAGCAGCACTCTGTTACAATGCACACCAACACATTTCCCAGTAATTACAAACACTGCTATGGGGGGGCTCTTGCACTATTTGTAGAGTGGAGGACACATGAGGGTTCACAGCATCAAAACAGTTTATATTATTATGCTGCACTCCTTTTGGGATTCCAGAACATTTTTCTGCACATTCTGAAATGGCTAAGATGTGCGGTTTCTCTCCTGTGCCTTCATCAGCACCACTTTCTAAACTTAAATGTATTATATTAGTCCAACGTGTAAATATTTTTTTCTTTCCATTTCATGACATCAGACTAAAAGAACTTGAGCTAATCAAACATTTTGTGACATAATTCTTAGATCTTAGTCTCTTTGTCAGAGATTTTTATTAACATATGATATGCATTAGAAAGGGGTTTATAGATGGACTTTCTCTATAATATCTTGGTACCCTCCACTGAACTACATAATGAAATGATTACCATTTCAGCCAATTTTACCCACTGATGCAGAAGTGTTTCAAGGCAGATGAGAGCTAGGAGTGATGGAAAGGCACACACAAGTGGAGGATGAAGGTCAGGGCTCAATCACATTCAAATTCCAACATTGTCTGGTTGTCTGACTGAATCAAGATATCTACACTTACTAAAGGTTCCATATCATGCTATTTTAACTCTTTATAGGACTGAAGTTTATTTTTGGACACTTTCACTCACATCATAAATGATGTTGGTGTGCCTTTTCACGGACTCTTAGAATTACGGGATTTCATCCACCCAATGCCCAGAGATCAAGCTAGTCACACTTTGTGCCATCCCATCAATCAGCACGAGGCTATGACGCGCCAAGCTTTACTATGTCTGCAGAACTAGAATACTGCTCAGTCGCCTCCTGTTTTTACAGACAGATCTCTAAAACGAACAGTGCTAGGTTTATGGAACTCTCTAGTTGTGCTAAATAAAGATAAATGCGTTGTAAATGTTAAACTTAATGAAGTTGGTGAAATAATAGCATGAAATCAAATCTGCCACAATTGAACATACGCCCAAGTAAAATAAATTCTGTACA